ATTCGAGATCATATCCGGCCAAATCGGATTGTCAAGGTCTCGAATGGCATCAAGCACTGGAAGCGATCTACATGGTGTCGACCTCGCAATGGAGGCGACTGGGAACTCATTGAAGACAACGTTGATAGCAGGGCAACAATGCGTTTGAGCAACTCGTGGATCGATGTGATTGTGTTTCACCACCCACCTGGGGTGTTCGATGACTCCGGGAGGGGAGCATACATGAGCGTTCGTGTCAGGTTGACCCCCAACAAGAAAATACGGGACATAAGGGATGATTTTGAAAAGTCTTTGAATCCAAAAGTTGAGATGAAATCCTCAGAACCCAAAAGGATGTATGCAGTGAAGTCGAAGCCCCAGCCAAAGGTCTTGACGCCCAAGTTGGAACAAGATGATTCCGATTCATATGAATATGACTATGAGTATTCTCCCACTGGTTTCATGGCTGTGCGTTTTGATTCCAACGTTGATTTGACAGTCCATCCTGATGAGAGGAGGACCATGAGCAAGAAACACAGGAAGATGGTGTTGGAAGGTATCAACAATCTCAACAACCATGACCGGGTAATGCAGTCCAGTCTTGGGATGCAGCCTCAAGTTTCCAATGGTACTTCAGGGGTTGCAATCATCACGTCACATCCGACTCTTTTCCAGGATTTTTTCGAGCACACCTATGACGTTGGCATGAATGCTGCGTACTTGGACGGTGATGCTGAGCAACACGGTTGGAAAGACATGTTCGAAGGTTGCACATTGGTCATTGTTGCAATTGAATACAAGTCAGAACATTATCCACTGTGTCATGGGGATCTTGTATTTGAGTTGGAACAGTATTGTGATGCCACAGGGTGTAGGTTTCTCATTGTTGATGTCGCACACACTGAACGATGGGAATCATTCAAAACACCACAGATACCATACATCAATGAAGTTGGTCTTGCTTTTGTGTCAAATGATGATGAACTCATTCAAGGTTTTCAAGACTGGTCTATGTATCGACAATTGGATGACGTTTTGAATTGGGAGTTTTGTCAATGGATTCGTGATTGGTCACTTGAACGTGAATTGGAGGAGCAGATGAGCGTTGCCTTTCCAGCAGAGATCATCGAAGAGGCTCAGGAACATGGTGGGAACTGGGATGCAGTCGATGGCCCAGAAGATGTTGCATTGCAGGATCCAGTTGAGGACCTGACACATGAAGAGACCCTTTTGGATGATGTTGATATCCCTGGATTGCCAGAGGATGAAACAGAAAGGCGTAGGTCTTGGCGCAAACTTCCCCAGCGTGTCAGGATTGCTGTGCGTAGGTTGCACAGGGCTTTTGGACATGTCCCCAAGACGGTGATGGTCAATTTGGTGCGTGCTGCAAAGGTGAGTAAGGAGTTTGTTGATGCAGTGAAGTTGCATAGATGTGAAACATGTGAGAAAACATCAGCAAAGAAACCCACTCACAAAGTTACGCTTCCAAGTGATTATACATTCAACCATACTTTGGGGATTGATGTACTGGAGTTGACAGATATAACTGGGCAGAAGTATCAAGTTCTCAACATGGTTTGCATTGGTACTTGTTTTCAACAGGCCGAGGTCGTGAAGGTTGGAGCAGGTCAAGCTTCTTCGCGATCCTGTTTGGACGCACTTATCAAACGTTGGTTCAGTTGGGCAGGACATCCTGTTGCTATCATGTGTGATCGTGGTTTGCACAATCGTGGTGTCTTGCAACAATACATGGATGAACACAACATTCAAGTGCACCATGTGCCCCTTGAGAGCCCGGAATCATTGGGCCGAGTAGAGAGGCATGGTGGTTTGTTGAAAGCTCTTTTCAGACGAGTGTGTACAGAAGTTGGGGCTTGTACCAAAGAACAGGTTGAGTCGTGCATCACACAGGTGCTCAGTGTGAAGAACGACTCTGCACGTGTTGGAGGTTTTTCTCCATCTCAGTGGGTGCTCGGTCGAGCTCCCCGTGGTGTAGCTTCACTCATGTCAGAGGAAGACCATGCACAGCTCGGAGCCATTCAGGCCCGACATGATCCTTCATCAATTTTTGCATTACAACATTTGGCCAGGATTGAGGCACAAAAGGCTTTTGTTCACCTTGATTGTTCAAGAAGAGTTCAGAGAGCGTTGACACGCAATGCCAGTGTGTTTGACCGTGAGTTCAACATTGGTGATCTTGTCACTTTCAGACGAGACAATCAGAGAGGAGGAACGTCCTGGTCACCAACATGTCGTGTGATCGGACACGAGAACCAGAAGAACATATGGTTGCTATGTGGTAACGTTCCAGTACTTGTAGCTTCTCATAACATACGCATTGCTTCTCCTTCTGAGGCTCTTGCTCAATCAGTGTTGAATGGTGAACCTGTGATTCCATACAAGATCATCAATGATACAGGTCAACAAGCGTTTCTTGATGCAAGACAATCAGATGAGGTTGAAGTTGTTCGTGATGGTCCAGGACAAGCAGATGATGTTGAGGTTGTCCATGAAGGCAATGTGGATTCAGCACTCCCTCCTATACCAGAAGTATCTGAAGATGAATGGGATATACGGCCCGGTTTCTTTGAAGAAGATGAGGAGGAGGAAGATACAGGTCCTATGGAAGAAGACATCTTTTCACAGAGTAGAACCCCAGAGAGAAGAGTTGAAAGACCACATCCAGGAGATGGAGGTCATGAACGCAACGTGAGACCTCGAGTAGAGTCTCAGTTACAACCTGAGTCGGAGAGAGGCTCATCACTTGTGCCATCTCGAAGAGACTCCTTTGTGCCTGATCTTACTCCAAGTGGCTCCGTTTTGGGACCACTATCCTCGCCGTCAGCATCATCTTGGCCATTGCGAAGGGAACTTTTGGATGACTTACCACATCAATTGCGAACACATCTTGAAAGAGCTCGTGAGAGAGACTCAGAACGAAGTCCTGAAGAACAACAAGAAGCACGAGCATTGTTTGCATCATTTTTGTCCCAGGAAGTTGAAGTCCCTGAGGACGAAGAGCAAGGTAAGAAAGTGTTGAAATCAATCCACTATGAATCAGCGTCACCTGATGTACAGAAGAACATCATGGATGCCAGAACCAAGGAGTGGAGCAAGTTCCTTGAGTTCGCTGCTGTTGTTGAAATTTCAAAAGAAGATGCTGAGAGGTTGATTGCTGAAGGACATCAATGTATTCCTAGCAAGTGGGTTGATGTCGACAAGAATCAGTTCATGAAAGGAAGATCAGATCAAGAATATGTGCCAAAGTTCAAGAGCCGGTTGGTATCATGCGGCAATTTCGAAGTCAGTGAAGGTTTGAGATCAGACAGTCCTACAGCAGATACGGAAGCTCACAACATTCTTTGCTGTTGGGCGGCGATCCAGGGCGCACAATTGCACAGTGCGGACGTCGCATCCGCATATTTCCAAGGTCGTCCTCTTGATAGAGTTCTCATTATGAGACAACCCCGAGGAGGTCTCCCGGGAGTTGATCCAGAGGTGTTTTTCCTTGTGCGGGTGCCTATATATGGATTGACTGACAGCGGTCGAGGTTTTTGGTTGAGGTTGGACGGAGATGCCCGATCCAGTGGCTTGAAACAATCCAAGTTTTACCCAGGATTGTATTTCCTTCCAGGAACCGACAAAGATTGCGTTGCACTTATGGCGACACATGTGGATGACATCTTGTACGCATACATTCCTGAGGGAAAGTCAGTGATCGACAGCTTCTTGGAGAAGTTCAACTTGGGATCAAGTGAATCAAATTCGTTTCGCTATTGTGGCAAGCAATTTGAGCGTACTGCAGATGGAACAATCACACAAGACACTTGTGACAACACCCGTCGCATCAAGCCGATCAAGATCGCGCCAGGAAGATCAGCGTCCGAGCCGTTGGGTAAGGATGATGTGACCCGATTACGATCTGTAACGGGATCATTGGCATGGGTGGCAAGGCAGACTAGACCCGATTTGGGTTATCGTGTGAGCCGCCTACAGTCCAGTATTTCTGGAGCAACAGTTGCCATTTTGCACGACGCAAATGCCGTGGTACAGCTGGCACATCAAGGCATTGATAACAAGCTTATTTTCCCAGGTGGTCATTTAACTTGGGGAGAGATTGGTATCATTACAGTGACAGATGCTTCATTTTCAAATGAGAAGAATTACAAATCACAACAAGGTCGTTTCCATTTTCTTGGAGACATCAATGAGATCAAAGACCCCAAGACTACATCCTACAGGGTGATGCCATTGGGATTTGCATCAAATACAATTCGGCGAGTATGCCGCAGCACTCTTCAATGCGAGGCTTATTCACTGCAGGCTGGACAAGAGAGCGGTGACAAGCTACGTGGAGCATTGGCCGAACTGATGGGCCAACTTGACTCGATGAAAACATGGTTGGATGACAGCCGCAGCTGTATTCCACAACTGATGCTTTCAGACTGCAGGTCTCTAACAGACCATCTTGCGAATGAGGTACTCGGCAGGGTCGCAGACAAACGACTCGGCATTGAGTTGCAGTCGATTCATGAGTCACTTTGGCAAGACGGCCGGAGGACCTGGGATATGCATCATGGCGGAGGAGACATTGTTACCTGGATTGCTACAGGGACTATGGTCTCGGATGCTCTGACCAAGAGCATGCGCCCGGACCTCATTATCCGCGTCTTGAAGGAGTGCATTTACCGTGTACAGAAGAAGCCTTAGAGCCAACTTTTCACTAGCATCATGTGATCCTTGAAGAACAGGTTGAGTGTGAGTTTGACCTGTCTAATGTATATTTTGTATAGCCAAGTGATCACATGCCCCCGTTGACATTTGGCTTTAGGGCCCTTGAGTCATACCGCGCTGCCGTGGTAAAAGTTGGGCATTTGACGATCCCGTTTCCAATTCATACAAGTATTTGGAGTCGTGAGTAGCCCCGGCCGAGGACAGCAAAAAAGCCGGGTCCTGAACGTGATTTGCAAACACCTGCTTTTTCAGTGATTCTGTCAGCTGTAGGAGACTGTCCCACCCAGGTCTACGTTTGGAAGTTTGGCCAGCTTCACTTCAACAAGTGGATGCCTCAACTACAAATTTGAGGAAAGAGAAAGAGGAAAGAAACGACATCAAAAACATGTGTTGACTCCTCGCATCTATCGGATTATTGGATTCATTTTGTCAAGTTGAGGCCAACAGTTGAGGAAAGCGGTGGCCAAGCACTACAGCTAACTCCCAGAGAAGATCTGCCCTTAGAAACAGGATGCAGGCGAGGATCAGATTCTAGAAGGTTAGTTTAATGAATGTTCTTATAGTATCATGTAGTACCGCCGTATTCATAACTAAGGTTGCTTTCATTTAGTAGATAGTACCCTAAACTCAATTAACTGTTTGCTATCATTATATAGATATTATAGATCAGTATTTGGTCATTGACGTCAACTTGTTGACACACTCGTTTCAAAGGACTTCCAACAGCAATGGACAGCATACAGATAGGAAACTCTATCGGCCAAGACCAGCCACTGGGATTCGCCATTCCCTTTTCTTCTCGTCAGGTTCAAACGGTTCTTGTATTTCTTGATCAGACCTTTGTGCACAGGGCAGAGAACCAGGGGATGTAGGGCAAGTATGAGCAAGTTCAAGATTCATGCGCGTTTCAATCCACTTTTTCAGGACGCCTTGTGCGAGAGGTTGAGTTCTCACTTTCGTCATAGGATCTACAGTAAGTTGCCCAATCTTGGTACTCGTACATAGTGGGTGTCAAGCCGGAAAAAGATGTATGCAATTCTATATGCTTTGTTACTTGGGTAGTTGTCAATACCAGGACCAAATAGTCTCAAAATCGGGCTCATGAACATCCCAACCAAGACGATCGTTTGTTCATGTTCACCGCGGGTAAAGGGTTTTTGGCGCAACAACTACTTGACACCGTTGTTTCGAAGATTTTTTCGCCGTACGTATGCAACGGATGTTTGATGATTTTTGCCTAGAAATGCTGTTTTTAGCCTTTTTTAAGTTGTTATGGCTAGACGTTTTGCTTCGTGAAAGGACGTACACCCAGGCATGAGTTGTTTCATGCCGAGTGATCATGGGATTCCATAGGAACGCCCAGGCTCGGCTGAGACACCTGTCCTACGCAGCGCCTGTGTTCGTTGACATAACACGGTCAGTGTACCAAGTCAACAACGTGACCAGCTCAGAGCCAGAAAGCCTTCGGATGGACAGAGCGTATGCCGTGTATGACCGAGTGTTTTGGGCATGTTTGCTGTGATGTGTATTGTTTTGTATTGATTTGTCAACTGACGCGTTTAAGACGACGTGTTTGATTCTGTATGATTCTGTATGTGAAAGTGCGCCCAGGATGGTGAAAGGACTTTGATCCAGGAGAACACGTACTCCAAGGTGTTTCTCATGCGCATGCCGATCATGGTCAGGACGTTCTGCTCGTCAGGTTTGTCATTGGTTTGTTTCTGCATGTTGCTGCAATTCAGCATGATGAAGCAGAAGCATTTCATGAACAGCTTCATGAGCAGTTCAACGATGTGTCATGATTCAATTTGACTTGTGCCAAACTTGATCTAAGTATGATGTCGCATGTGCTTGGAGAACCAAGCTTGCCAAGATGTCAGGACAGAGTATTGCTGGCTAAAGAATGCCAACGACCGTCTCATAGCTGCAGATGTGCAAACACGGGCACATATGATTGTCAGCGCGATGCAAAAGCAAGAGAGCAAGATCGAACATAAAGACATGCTAGTTATGAATCGATTGTATGTATCTAAGTGCATGCAAAAAATGACAAGTAATGTACATAAATCACATAAAACTTAAAACATTATAAAACTAATTATGTCCAGAACAGCCCTTCACTGAGGTGTCCTCACTGAGTTTGGCGAGTGCGAGACCCTCAGCAATAGACACTGCATGACCTAGACCTATGCTGTAGAATGATTAGTGTGTAGGAATTATGCGCATTATTTGCACAGTATGTATTGTTAAATTATGTCAAATTCAGGTTGCTGCAAATTTGGTTCAAATCGATTTGACATGCTGTTTGCTCGGCAAAGTGGTGTAGTTTGCGTAGCATTGTTTCAACCATAGACCATTTGGTGAGTTGTGCCCCAATGTGTCAAGCTTTCACCAGAAGCCTTTAAATCAGTCTTCTACATGGTTGCTCCAGACTCTAGACTATGTCTATCATGTCTATATAGACTAGCCTTACTTTCCAACAAACTTCCCAACACACTTAACACTGTTGATGTCCAACCGTCCAACGGTCTTTCCAGTCTTCATCAAAGTCTCCTTCTCAAGCTCTCCAACACTTTTGCCCTCCCCTACTCCCAGTATCTTTCTCACTGCTAGTTCTCGTCACACTCCTCACGGCACCAGTTTCTTCCTAAGAAAGATGGCTGTTCTTGGTAGAATTAAATGAAATGCGTCTACTGTTTCTACTTTCGCAATGATCAGAATCTTAGCTGTCAGCCTCCTGCGCATTCTTTTTCTGCATTTGGTTTTTACAGCGAAAGTAGGCTTTATAGTTTTATACAGATCAATATATAATATCTAATATATATTTATACCTGCAATTACCTGCGTGTATCTAGAATCCAAATGAATTATTTTGAGTTGTATTATTTTGAGTTGTCCAAATAAATGATTTGTTTTACTGGTAGATTGTACTTCCTTGTTCCATCATGTTCCTATATGTTACAATGCAAACGCACATATGTAATCATACGTGTGTGTATATATACATATATTGCATATATATATATGAGCAGGGACCCCCACACCCCCCCCCCACCCAGCCAGATGGTTCCCCCCCTGTGGCAGGGGAGGGGGGGTTTTCTCAGCAGCCAAGCCATGGTGTATGTAGTCTTTATAGTGCATATAATGCATATGTATCGATAATTAGAATGGATATACTATATGTAATATAGAGTGTATGTGTAGTGTATATATATATAAACATATATATAATATGTAAGATATAAATAGAATATATGCAATCTATATATATATTGATAATATATATATATGTATATATATATTTGACATATATATATATATATATTGATTGAACACACACATATATATATATACATCGTATATGTGGTTTTTGATAGAATATAGATAGTATATGCCACATGTACTGTATCCACAGTAGACGTAATATATACAATATAGGTAAATATGTTTGTTGCATAAATTTTACATAGTATATGTGGTATATTGAATATCGACAGCAATACACGCTGTATATCTAGAGTTTATGTATCTATATATATATGCATATATATATGCATATATATACATATATATATATACGTGTACAGTATGTACAATGTAAACGAAATATGTGATAGATACAAGATCAAGATATCAATCTATAGTATCTAGAATGTGCATATATATATATATGTATTTATTGTTTTTCTACTGTACATATGTCTAGGTTTGCATAGGTAAGCTTTGCGTAATCCATAGGTAGCAAATATGTTGTAAACCGTGTGCGAGGCACGCTATAGGCGGTTCGAAAAAAAGGTTATGATAGAAATATACAGGTAGACAAGGTCCGTTGACGAGGTCGTGGCTCTCAAGTGCTGCAAATAACGTAGAGATGCGAGGTTGGAGGGGTGGAAAGGGGAGTATAATGTGTATATGTGTATGTATATGTGCAAATAACATGCAAATACTAGGTTTTGGGGGGGTGGGGGGGGTTAGGAGTGGGGGGGGATACCATTGGGGGGGGAGGGGGGGGGGATGTGGGGGTCCGGGGACCGGGCTCATATATACAGTATACATATAATTTATATACATGCACTTAATATTGGTATGAAGTATATGTTCCATATATTATTTTGTGCATTTGGTTTGTATCCATGATGTTATTTATTTCGTTTTTTATCTTATATATACACTGTATATATATATATACTATATACGTTAGTCTGTATATATGCTCATATCTACATGTTATGTATTTTTTTGTAGTAGTTTATTTTAAATACATCTATCATACGTATGTTGCTGTACATACATTGCATGTGACATAAAAATACATAAAATACATGCATGTTTTTTTTGGTGTTTCTTACAAAATTTGCGAATGTTATTCATAGAAGCATTTCGCTGGCAGCGAAAGTTCTACATTCCCAATGCTACCACAAGCCAGGTCCCCTCGATCAAGGTGGCTATTTTATCATCAATGGCCGGAGACTCTGAACAGACCAAAACAACCAGGTAACCAGGCGCAAGAAAGTGACTTGTCCTTAGGCTTTCCATCTATTTTTCCAGTTGTCAGGATATTGCCGGTCAAAAACTCCAAGCCAAGCTTTCGAAATTCAGGTTCGGAGAAGGTGCTCATTGCCCTGGAGCGTATGGCAAATAACTTTGTTGCCACCTCAGCAGCACATGACCATCAGAACACTTGAGCACATATGGCATGTATGGCAGTGGAAGTTTTTTCGCAGAGCCTTTTGCATTGAGGTCTATGCCTTTGCCAAAAAGCAACCCTCCAAATATGCCAGAAGCCAAGAGAAGCCGCGCCAAGAAAGACAGGAATGTGGGTTCTGGTGAAACTGGAACATCTGGAACTCTTAAAATTTCATGAAAGTTCTGAGCGGATTCTGGTGAGGCCTGGGTTTGCGAGATCCGGTCTGCCCTTTTCGAAGGTTCTGCGGCCTTCTGAGCATCTCGCAGTCGATCTTTGGTTCTTATCGTTGGAAGTTGTTATAAAACGATGTTTGAAACCATTTTGCACAGACTTGCACGCTACAAGGGGGGCGCTTTTGATATCTGTTGATCAACGGTCATTGACGGTTGCACCAAGGCTGGCAACTCTGGATTTGCTGTCAAGCTCCTCACAAACATGGGCTCAGCCTGGCATGTTTGCTACGCCTTCATCCTTGATCTAGAGTCTCTAGAGCTTCAATGAGCTTCATCCTTTTCATCCTTTTCATCCTTTTCATCCTTTTCATCCTTTTCATCCTTTTCATCCTTTTCATCCTTTTCATCCTTTTCATCCTTTTCATCCTTGCCTCCACGACAGGTTCAAAGTCGTACTGCAGAGGTCAACTCGTTTGCACGTGCCCAGATCTTAGCGGATGCCTGGGCTGTGTATGGCTGTGTGCGGACCATCTTCGTCTATAGTACAGTATAAATCAATATAAATCAGTATAATATACACACATAATTACGATAATTAGACAATATTACAATATAATACAGATATTGTTTGCTAATGCCCACGAGACAACAGCAGATACACTCCTACTTGGAACGATTCCACAACCTGGTGTCTTGCAATGCGATCATGCTTGCTTCTTGCGTGACTTTTGTCCGCAAATCTCAAACAACATTGACAAGATTCTACATGATGCCTGCGCTGATCTCATGATGTCTGAAATCCCTCCACGATGTTTATTGCCCATGCTTGAAGCACTTCTATTCGCAGGACACATTTACATTTACACTACAAGTTTCCACATACTGTATGCTCATGTATGCTCTAACTCTCTGTGCATCATGCCAACTCCGAGCCAAGGCCCATACATCCGAACTGAGATCCCACTCGTGGTCATGTTTCGGGCACTGGGCATCGTAGCAGACAGAGATATTTTGGAGCGAATCGTGTCAAGCCGGCCAGCAGTTAGCATTGAGTTAACGGAAATGCAGAAACGCCTAAACCATCCTAAACTCCTAAACCCTATGGATCCCTTTTGTTTCCTGTCTTATTTGTGTTCACGCGATGCCAGTACTGTTTGGATTTGGGTCGTGCTGTGCAGTGCTGCCTTGGGCCAGGTTCGACATGAGTGATTTTGCCATGTTGAATGCGTGCCGGTTATCCATCGAGGAGACTCTCTCGCAGGGGAAGGGATAAACGATGGTAAACGATGATAAACGTATCGTTGCGAAGTTTGGAACATTTTGTAACACTGTAAGATCTTATTTTTTTCTAGAAATTTCTAAAGCTATCCTAACATACCGCGCTGCTTGCTTCGTGCACTCCTTGCAAGCGTTACGATGGAAACCGAGATGCAATCCGCAATCCCCGCTGATAATTTCTCTTGATGGGGATATATGGGGATGTTGCCAATGAATTACTCAAGCTTGCAGTATGGGCTGTGACATTTGTTCAATTGTGAATGGCCGTAGTCAAGCCGATGTGTTCCTCCCTGCGGCATTCGTGTGTTCCCAATTCCTTAATGTTGTGGCTGTAACATCTCTTGGGCCCGTTAACATGCAACTGGACACTGGGGCACATCTCCACATGTCCGCAGACGTTGCCATGTCAAATTGTAGGGGTCGGATCAGGCCAGGGAGCACGGATGCAACAGATGCCACAGATGCCACAGATGCCACAGATGACCCAGAACCATCACCCCGATCCAGACAATTCCAGACATATCTCTATACCAAAATTATCCGAAATGGAGATAGCCCCGGCATGCACCGGCTATCCAGGATTATCCAGGTCCCCGAAGACACAACCTTGATCCACAGCCATGTCGAGATCCAAATCATATTGATCCTCTCCAAAATCGATGATTTCGCAGCACCACAAGCCACTAAACCTGCGTAGATGTTTGCATTTGCTTCCTTTAAATGTATAGTCTGTAATTATTAAATTATAGTGACTTAGATGACTTAGTAATTTAGTACGCAGGTTGTTGGCCTTAGTCACGCCCACAGTTTTCAAACACTAGATCCTAGCTTAGATCTTACTAGTTGAGGAAATACTGCATATACTGTACCTTTTCTGGCTTTTCTCGCCTCTTTCGCTGTGATCGCTCTGTATTTGATGTTGTAATATGTTGTACTGTTAACTTTTACTTTGATCCTTTTCGATCCCTTGTGTTTTCGAGTTCTGATCTTGCGAGGATGCTGCTCCAATCTCTACGCAAGAGATGGCCGGGCCCTCGGCAAATACGGCAACATACGGCAACAGAACCCAAGAGTATACCGAGTTCAACTGGCAAAAGGTTTTGGAAATTGATCATAATATGATATAATGTGTATATATATATACACACTGTACATAACAATACATAACATATTTGTTCAATCAGTCCACACCTTTGTTGGCAAAGCAAAGTGTGTGGTTTTGGACTCTGCGATAACTTAGCTGAGATTGTTTGGTCTTTGCGGTTGAGGCTCTCGACTACATTGCCAAGCAGGGCTCTTAAGCCAGGTGGCTTCAGACCATACTGTAGATATTGTTGAACATGGTTTAAGAACTCCTCGCAACATTTGGCAAGTATTGTTTCTCTACATTTCTCTTAGGATCTCTTGGGTCTTCTACAAAATACATGTCAAATCATATCAATATAATAAACTTTACAGAGCCTGCTATCAGTGTTTGTGTTTGCAGATCCAATGTTTGTCATGACTCAACTGGTTCAACTAAAAACATAAGAGTGTCGTGTTGGGCCTTGCTCCCCCTGCTGATCACAGCAACAGAGTAGCAACAGAGTCGCCCAAGCTTGTGGCGCAAGCAATCTTGTCGTCATTGTGATCTCTTGAATAGTGACTGTATTTAGATGTATTTAGATTGATGATTGACTACAATTCGGAGAGCAGCTTTGTGTTGATGTTTCTATGATTCCCTTTGTCTCGTGAATACTAAGTCAGAAGTGCAGCAAAAGTTGAAATTTGTTCTTTGTCAAGATGGGGTGGCAGGACACACAGACACACACACTTTTGACATGTTGGTAATTGGTCCGTTTTTGTTTTGAAATTGTTTAACCATGTTTAATCAATAATGAGATTATCATGAGACTAACTGAGTCTGTCATCTAATGCAGGACGTATTTGGCACTGAGGCGTGGACCCACCATGGGGGCCACTCGAGATGTGCGAATTCAGCACTTTGGTGAAATGGCAGCGGTGAGGCATGGTGAGACTGGCCCAAGAAAACATCCAATCACCTCGACGTTTATCCTATCACTTCAGGAATCTTTATCGCATGGGCCACTGGTTCTTTTGCAGTACGATGTTGATCCAATCGATGTCCAAGATTTTGTGTGACCTTCCAAGGTATGCGCGAGAACTGCTCCAAAAGGAGCTTCTTCCACATATTGGGAGGTTTGGGGCTCTCAGATGGCCTGCACACAAGATTCCTAGGTACCCAAGCTAGGCTCACGTTGTGTGTTGTCGGCTCAGCACATATTCATGATTTTTGGTTGGTACACGAATGTACACGACTTCAAAGCAGAACCAACAGGAACTGGGAAGAAGGAATCACCAGCACAAAGCAAGTAGCTAGCAGGATGAATGTATGCAGCTAGAGGACAGCGGGGCAAGTCAAAAGCAACCTTCCAGATCTTCCAGGGAATGCTAGTAGCAAGGTCGATGCTGCTTTACGTAAATAAACACAAGTGCGACGCACAAGACCGAGTGAGATGAACTTTGAACGCCACGACAATAGATTTGCCCCCAAGCATAGTGTAGTGGTGCAAAGAATCGGAAGAAATCTCATGAGTTCATTGAGTCTATTCGAAAGATATAGTCGAATCATCTCGAAACATTAATATTCTACTTTGCTGTGAGATCCGAGCTCAGACTTGAAAATAGCATCAAATAGTTTCAAAATGTTTCAAAACGCCTTGTTTGCATTTGGTGAGACTCTGATAGCTTCTGCATTGTCTCATGACCAAGAGATAGTCTGTGCAGGATGTTCGTTCATAAGAACTTCACAGGATATGATGTGTTCTATTTGTGTTCTCGTATTTTCTCGCTGAGTTTCCCTCCTTTTCTGTCCTTCAGTGCTGGAAGTGATTTCCTTTCAGTGTCAGGCCTTTGGGCATTGTTCAGAAGATGTATCCGAATGTATCCACTCAACCCAAGCTCTACTCCACTTCGCTTTCCTATTGTTTGAGCAAACATGATCAAACTGACTTTTAATGACTTTTACCTTGTGAAACTCTGAGGACGCGCAACATTGAAGGTCGCAAAGCCTACTTCATTGGCTACATGACCAACCGTCTTCTCCTTGGTATGAACCCCAGTTCTAGCATAGTGTCGTTGTGTTCGATGTCGAATGATCAAACAATTATATTATATAATATTATATATACTTCTCTATAATTGTCTCTATACTTCTTATTCTGGTCCTCTGCCTAAAGCTGTGTTATTTGACTTTCATTCAGTCAATGAGATCCCCAAGATCCTCAAGCCATCAGGCTTTCTGGGAAGAAATCCCGAAGATGATCGAGATCATTTTGGGAAGAAACGGATCCTGGGCGACCAATCTTGGCATAGCTAGGCATATTGCGATTGTCATATCTTGACACTTCTTGACTCCGGAATACTCCTAATATTGGATGAATATAATGGGATTGGTTCTGTTTATTCTAATCAACCTTCAGTGATGCTTTGTGATTTAGGCAAAACATGACGTTCAGATCCGTTGGGATTAGTATCACCACCATTGCTTTAAAATCTTTGTGGCGTAAGACTCTGGACTGAAGTGACTAGAGCACGAGCCTGCTGTCTACCGAAGGACTGCTTTGTTGTGTCCCTACTGAATATTCTTTGTGCAGTGTATTGTACATGGCCTATTGATAGTGAATGAGTGAATAGATGTAAATAGGAAATCCCTTATGCAAAAGCCGTACTGTATAATAATCCTGGAGGTCAGTGTTGATGGGGTCATGTCCAAAAGCCCTAACATACATACTAAATACTTCATTTCATGACTGAGGATCGACTTGGCAGGTGCGCTGGCCTGACCCTCATCAATGATACGCCGAGTCCCTCCCATGTTTCCCCAGTCTGACTCTTCCTGAGGTCTCCGCGTCATTTACTGGTCTTTGGCGCAAAACTGTCAAGGCATCAAGAACACTGCAGCGTGTTGTGAGAGATGTTTGAACAAGTTGAGGAACGAAAGTAAATGAAAGTGCATCAAACGGACTAATTCGACAGCGTCAAATTTGCTTGCAATGCCTTGCTCCTCGAAGTCTTTCAATTGGTATTCCCCTTTTGGAGGACCTGCGAAAAGTGTTGCAGCGTATGCTCAACAAAGGCAAGGTACCTGAAGACATCCAGGAGTGCTTGAAGCAGGCCACACTGCCCAAAATGTCCAGACTGCTGCATACATTTACATCAATTGTAGTTTACCATTATCCATGTTATCCATGTTTAGACTTAAAGCATTTGCCGTTAGAACTTTCAAAGTCCTCGCTCCGGCAGGCATCCTGCTTGAGTCAAGGCATGAAGTACCAGTTCGCGACCGGAAACTGGGGCCAGGACAAGTTTTGCCTGCCAGACCGGTTGACTGAACTGGTACTGTATGGTTTGCATGGCTGAGCATGGCTGAGCTGGTTCACTGTGGGGCCACATGTATAGACCATTATAGACCCAAGTCCCTTGGGTGAAGCTCAACATACATAGAATACTAGTTTGTCCACCTTCCAGACTTTTCGGCAAAATTGGTTTTGCAGCTACCCAATGACTTTTGACAGACTCAAGACTCGAGACTCGAAAGGACAAAGCTGGAAAGCCAGTTCGGGAGACTCAGACACAGCTCGAAACCGAAAGCGGCGCTAAAGACCAAGAAATCCATAGAAATCCATAGAAATCCAAGAACTGCAAAAATTGCCCTAATTTGCCCTTCATCGCCCTGACCTTTGCATTTTGCTTCAAGGATTTCAAGGCATAGTACTTCGTTCGCTCAGATCTTCAAAGCATTTCCATGGATCTTGTCGACGGTGCTCTTGGGTCAATCTTGGAGTTGTATATTGAATTATATTATATTGATATATTGACATATATAGACAATATGACTCATGTACATTGGATATCATTGGATGGGTAGGCACATACTGTACATACATGTACATAGTGGTTTATGTTGAACATTGACATGATGCGAGTATGTGTCATACGTTGGTTATAGTCAGAGGTGATTTTGATTGATTTGATTGATTTTACATGATTTTACGCACTATAGAAGTGGTGAATCGAATGGTCAAATGGCTTTTACTCCCCTCGCATTCCTTCATAGTCGTAGACCTCGAAAAAGTGCTGAGGTTCGCACAGGCATCTCACAGGGTCTGAATCGGCTAACCTTCATGGCCACTTTGTCTCATTTGAGGTGCGAGTCGAAGTTGAATGAAGTTAGTTTGTACATGAATCATTGGAAATCATCATGTGTTTGTAATGTTTGCAATATTTTTGCAGCTCGATGCTTCTAAGAGCGGTGGCAAACCAAAGCGCAAGGCGCATGATCACACCTTTGGCCCGTTCTGGAAAGCTGGTGAAGCCTAGGTGGGGCATGTAGGAGCCCAGTTTGAGAATCCTCAAGGGATGATTCTTTGGTTAGTGACTTTCAGATACTTTCAGCATGGAAATCACATTCTTTGCTGGGAAGATGAAGTCGGAGACAGGGAACCCATTACCTCATATTCCTACTGTATCCATTCCTTGCATTTTCTTGCACAGATCTTGCGCAGGACAGGTTGGTGATTAGTGCAAGATTGATGAACATTGTGATCGTTGTGAGTGTTGTGAGTCTTGTGAATGTTGTGTGTGTGTGTGTGGAACTGCTGAACAGAAGTAGAACCTCTACTGTTGCTTGTTTTTCAGCTTTCTGATTTCAGCAGGGGGCCCATGGGCACTTGGATGGCATGGGCCAACGAAGACCCATCCAAGTTGCTGTGCAAACGTACAGTACCTCCAATTGTTGAATCGTGATGGGATGTGGCCAACCAAAGAACCACCATGCCGTTATTCAAGGAGAATCACTTCTGAATTTGAATTAAGCACATGAACGGGCGAAGGTGGCTTCTCATTTTTTCTTTCTGCACAGTTGGCGCAATCTGAGACTGCGGTGAACTTCTTGTCAAACCCATTTTTCTGCTTATATTGTAGGGTTCTTCCTGGTTTATTGATTTTGTTTCTATTCTTCAAGGTGGGGACGAAGGAATTTTCTTTTCATTCCACACCAGACCCGCCTGCCAGGTGCAACTGAAGTGTTTTGGCACGATAAGACAAGTCTGGGCAAGTGTGTTACTCACGTCGGTTCGACAAGATGCCGTGAGCCCCTCGGGGAATACCTGTCTAGGTAGGATGTTTGATCCTCCGACTTGATCTCTGAATTTACACTTTTAATCTAGTAATTCGTCTAAGTGAAACAGCCGGCAGCTTTTCGCTTCTCAACCTGTCGGATGTCGACATGTTGAACAACTGGCCGCAGTACCGGGCTTCGCCTTCTTTCGCTTTTCACACTGTCGTTTGTCACTGGTTGACCAACTGGCCGCAGTACCGGGCTTTCTTTCCTTTTGTCAGCCGTGGAAACCTCCTTTTTCAACTTTGATCGAGAGACTGACCGGCTTCTGGCATTGCAACATGACAAGGTTCAGGCTTCAGGACATGTCTTTCAGGTGTGGTCACTTTCTTTTGGTTGATTTGGCGAGGTCAAGTTGTGCACGAATTCGAGGGTTGACTACTTCAGCTGTCTGTGGGGTTGATCTGAATTTTCGGCCATTGAGCCTGCTCAGGGGATTCTGCATTGGATTGTGGATGCGTCAATTTGTTATTGAAACGGGTTGGATAATTTGATTCTGATTCTCCCTGCCTCCTCGCTGTGATCCATCATCCCCACCTGTGCCGCCCATCAATTTTCCATGGTCGCCACCGCCGTGCCACATGAATACCCTTTGCCAAGCTGTACGTTCTCAGCACGGCACCTTGGGGTGACTGTGATTTTCGGTCGGGGGTTTCAAGTGGTTTTCCTGCACTCAACATCAGTCTTCCTTGCTTGCTTATCTCCTTTCCACTTTGCAATCACCGCATGCATTTCATCAATTTCGTCTAATTTTCTAGCCACTGCCTGCGGATCCAACTTCTTCACCCACAAAGGGCATTTACCACCCATCATGTTCCTTGGCCGCCATTCTCCTCCGCGCCTCGGCTGCGCCACATGAATGCCCCTTGCCGAGCTGCACGTTCTCTGCACGGCACCTTCGGGTGACTGTGAATTTCGGTCGGGGGCTTCAAGTGGTGTTCCTGCACTCTGTCACGTCGCTGGTTTCAGTCCCTTCGGCATCAGTCTTCCATGCTTCCTCAGCAGCTTGCCACTTTGCAATCACCTCAATCATCATTCATATCCTCCCACTTTTCAGTCACTGCCTGCGGATCCAACCCCTCCACCTACATCTTCTAAAAAGACCCTGCTGCGGCAGGGCGTGTGTGTGCGTGTGTGTGGAACTTCTGAACAGAAGTAGAACCTCTACTGTTGCTTGTTTTCAGCTTTCTGATTTCAGCAGGGGGCCCATGGGCACTTGGATGGCATGGGCCAACGAAGACCCATCCAAGTTGCTGTGCAAACGTACAGTACCTCCAATTGTTGAATCGTGATGGGATGTGGCCAACCCAAGAACCACCATGCCGTTATTCAAGGAGAATCACTTCTGAATTTGAATTAAGCACATGAACGGGTGAAGGTGGCTTCTCATTTTTTCTTTCTGCACAGTTGGCGCAATCTGAAACTGCGGTGAACTTCTTGTCAAACCCAATTTTCTGCTTATATTGTGGGGTTCTTCCTGGCTTATTGATTTTTTTGATTTTTCTAGGTGGGGACGAAGGAGTTTTCCTTTCACTCCACACATATCCACGCCAAACCCTCCCGTCAGGTGTAACTGAAGTGCTTCTGCACGACAGATGCATTCCACATCAAAATTCGATAAGACAAGTCTGAGCATGTGTGTGTGTGTTGTGAGTGTTGTGTGTGTGTGTGTTTGTGTCTGTGCTTATGTGTGTGTCTTTTTGCTTGTTTGATCTTGTTTGCTTGCTTGCTTGCTTGCTTGCTTGCTTGCTTGGTTGTCCGTTTTTTGTTTTTTTGTTTGTTTGTCGGTTTGTCGGTTTGTCATTGTTTGTTTGTCATTGTTTGTTTTTTTTGTATGTTTTTATTGTGTGTGTGTGCGTTTGTGCGCCGGTTGTTGCGCATTAGCACTCGTCGGTACTTGGAAGCGGCCTGAAGCGCAACACATTGTGAGGCAACTTCACAATACCCACTGGGGCTTGGTGTGTCCTGCAGAAACACCCGAAGGGCAGGCGCTACAAACAGAGAGAACACAGCTGACATGCAATGACATTCATGAACGGTTCTGCTGATGTTGAATGACTTTGAATGAGTTCCAATGCATTCTAACGCGACATAAGGACACATCCAAGCCACCGCCCGTGTTTGGTTCCATCAAAGACAAGAGTAGTGGAGATTGACAAACAGCCGCACTGCAGCAGGCAGTGGGATTGGTGAAGAACATCTCTCTCATGTTGTGCACTGAGATGTTTGCATGTTGCATTGCTGCAGCGCGGGGCGTGAAAGCATACCAAAGGAGTGGAAGAGACTTGACATGCTGTCAGTCAATCGTGGCTGCCCATGTAGAGGAAAGTCATTAGCTCTGAAATGCTCTGAATACCTTGGAAATCCTTGCAACATTTTGAAAGACAAAACAACGGCGCATGTTTGACCGCCAAGGTGCTGGATCACGCTGGGAGCTGCTGGCGACCCGGAAAGTGAGAAGCGTCTTGATACAGATGGATACCATTGGGAATCGATATACGTTGACATAATTAATATTTATATATATATATTATGTATGGATGTATGGATGTATGGATGTATGGATGTATGGATGTATGGATGTATGATATGTATGATATGTATGATATGTATGATATGTATGATTGTATGTAATGTAATGTAACGTAATGTAATGCAATGTAATGCAATGTATGTAATGTATGTAATGTATGTAATGTATGTAATGTATGTAATGTATGTAATGTATGTAATGTATGTAATGTATGCAATGTATGCAATGTATGCAATGTATGTAATGTATGTAATGTATGTAATGTATGTAATGTATGTAATGTATGTAATGTATGTAATGTATGTAATGTATGTATGTATGTATGTATGGATGGATGGATGGATGGATGGATGTACGTATGTATGTATGTATGTAAGGTAAGTAATGTAATGTATGTAATGTATGTAATGTATGTATGGATGGATGGATGGATGGATGGATGCAGTACAGAAAACTACAATTACACACATACATCTTATGTATATATATATGCGTGTGTTATACATGACTACGTGTATTCATATATGTATATATAATGATATGTAATGTATACACGTACATATACACGGTGGGGTCTTGTTTGTTTTGCTTAGGCCCAGACTATCATAGAGGACTTCCTCGACGAATGGGGTGCTGGATGCTAAGGACATCCACAGGGTCAAGCCTCTTAAAGCCCTTGGGCATTTTGAGGCGGAAGAGCATTTTAAGATGTTCCACGCAGTTTTGCTGTGCTTGTTGAAAACTCCGACACTTCAAAACTGTTCAAGTTTTACCACGTTTTATTTTTTACATAGGGTACAGTATCCGAAGCAATGCACTGAGATAGGTTGCACTTGTAACAGATCCTAGAGCATCCTAGAGGTTCAAGCGAAGGTGTTTTTCCCCACCAGATCCACCAGGGAAGGGTCTCTAGATTTATGTCAGCTTGCAGCTTGCTCCGCACTTGCTCCTCCTCCTCCTCCTCCATCCTCCCCTCCTTCTGCGCCCTCCCACTATCGCAAGCTTGCAGGCTCTCTGGGACTCGCCAGGCCCGAACACTATGTCAGATAGAATGTCGGTCGGGGATCACTCAGGCACCAATTCTTCAAGCGTTTTTGGTATTTTAGGTCCTCAAAACTCTATGAGGTCTTCCTTGCAGTGCATCCCTGCACGATTGGCACTGCTGAAACATTGCCATTGTAAAGACGGGCCATAGGAACGACTTCTGAAATCAAGCGGGCTTCAGGAAGGTCAGGCATGCAATGTATAAAAGGAAAGATAAGAAAACTATCAAGGGGAGAAATGACTGCACAATTTGTACAGGATTGTTTGATATTGCAGCAGGTTGTAGTAGGCTCTGTACTAGATTGACTTAGAACTTCAGTGAGCCCTTTGTTTGTTTGGTTACAAATCATGTACTTTAGATTCTTCTTTGATATTATATTTGTACGACCACCAGCAGTAGAAAACACCAGCGCGACTCCTGGGTACATAATTTCATGTAATTTCTGTACTGTATGTCTATCGGTATGAATATCTATACATATGTTTAAACATATAAGCATATAGCATCATATAGCAATGTTACACTTCACTACATATGTCTCAATATATTATATATATATGTATATTTATTTATTTCTTTATTTATTTATTTGTGTTCGAAGGAAGTTTAGAAGTCAAACTTCCGATAATATGGACAGATGAAAAGCAGAGATGGGAAGAGTCAGAGAAGAGAAGAGAATAAGAAAGAAGATCAAAAAGAGAAAGTCTCCGAAGAAAGAAGATCCAGGTGCGCGAAAAGGTAGGAAAGTCGCGAAACACTGTGTTTTTCCAATGATTTGTGGCTCCGGAGGGTTGAAAAGTAGGCTCGCTAAAGCGGCGGGTGCCGAGCCAGCATGAGAGATAAAAAATTGCACGCCGTTGTGGCGCGAAGCACATTTCCAAGTCAAAAGGCACAAGACACACCAGGTCCGGAGAACTTTTGGAAGTTGAGATGTCGAAAAAGTTCCCTGTGTAAAAGTTGCTGTGTTAGCTTGCTGTGTGTAAAAGCCTGCTTTTTGTAAACTCCTAAAGGCAAACCTTGTCTTTGGATCCTATAACGTCGCAGTTCTTAAACCTGGAAACTTCCACCACCCGCCTTGCGCGGGTTCTACTTGCACATGCATACGCACCAGGCCCTGCAACCCCCCGGCCCCATATGGGATCCTCCCTCTCTTTGGTAGTTTGGTCGTCAACAGATGCCAGGTACATAGTATTGGGAGTTGCATACAGGTTCTATTTAGATATAGGTGTATAGGCATGCAGTGGGTAACACATTGGGCGTGTATTATATAGGTTGTATAATATCCAGAAGTACAAGTAGATATATATAGAGGTACGCTACTAGCAATATACCCCCCCATGGGATACCTCCCCTCCCCACCCTGTGGTAGTGCCTGTGATTGGTGGGGGCGGTAGTTATGTAAATTGGTAGTCAACAGATGCTAGGTACATAGTATCAGGAGTCACCTACCGGTTGTATATACGTATATAGGTATATAGGCATGTAGGCATGGAATGGGTAATATATTAGTTATGTATTAGGTTATATCATGATGCATATATTCGGTAACTAGAATATTCTAGAAGTATATTACAAGTAGGCAATATAGAGGTTGTATATAGGCACGCACTAGGTAATAGTAATATATTAGGTATATGCTAGGTACTAAAGGCCTAAACACTATATAAGTAGGTAGTGTTAGGTATATAGGTACGATATGAGCAATAAGGTTTTAGAGGTTATACATTCTTGTTTGGTATCAGTATATAGTATTAGTATTAGGTATATGAGGAACCGACCAAATTAGCAGAAGACAAAAGTAGTTTAAAGTAGTAGGGAGTGGACTTGGGATGTGCGAATTTATGTGAAAGCCTTCACAACCGATAGGGCCGATAGGAGACCACCCACTACCGATACCCGATTTTTTTACACAGCATGGAAGTACAAACCTTCACAACCGACGGGGGGCCACCCACTTTGGCATGAAGTAGTCGGTAATTGTGCCAGCCACTCGTATAGGTATGCTATTAGCCATACATATATTCAATATATAGGCTGCATACAGGCATGCAATAGATTATAGTTTGCAGGAAATATGTAAGATAGTAAAGTATGTGGTCTGACAGTAGCAGCATCGCAAGTATAGCAAGTATAACAAGGCAAGATTAGATTAGTCCCGGGCATTGCTTGGGATGGGTTGGCAGGAGGGAGGAGGCAGGGCAGGGGGAGGGCAGGGTTGTAGTGTAGCGTTTAATGTGGGAGGGGATGAGGGGGTACCAGCCCATTCGGGTGGGGGGGTACGGAGACGGAGGACGGGACCATACATCTGTGTGTGTGTGTGTGCGTGTGCGCGTGCGTGGGTGTGTCTGTGTCTCTGCGTTTGTGTCTGTGTTTGTGTATGTGTGTACCCTTGGGACGGGAGGTTCTGCGATAGCTTAGAGTTGCAATCAAGGCCGTGTAGTTCCTCTTGTTGACTTGCCTGTTCCTGGCGACATTTGCGACCAAGCACTTGTTTAGAAATGCTCCCTACAGCAATATACGGGCGCGAAAAGAGAAAACACATGAAAAAAATATTATTGTCCAAAGGCCGCTTGAATGACAAGATGATGTGCGTTCAAAACGTTTGTTCTACTGGTACCACACCAAAAGGAACAACGTTTTGAATGTGCACAACATCCTTGTCCTTGACCTATCGGCTGCATGCAGTTTGCCTCACAGAAGACACTCAAGGCTCAAGGATAGTTGTAATAAGTGTTTGTTGTGACTAAAGTCTTTGTATATGGCAAAGTGTGTTGTCTCTGTGTCGTCTCTTCTCCAGCATTCTCCCACAATTTGCAGCAATTCATTCTCTGCTCATCAACTGCCCGTACCACCAGCAATGACTGTAGGTATGGATACCAGAAATGCAGCTGGCCAGATCTCTGCTTCATTCTGGCCTTAGTTTTTTCAACGTGTTTCTTGTGACTAAGGTCTTGGACCTGATGGAATGCACTCCGGAACACATGAAGACCTACTCCAAGGTGAGATATGATGGGGAGATCAGACAGAACAATGACAGAAACAATGCATGTGCGCAGGGACACGGAGTGCAAACGGCCATTCAGTGACATTTCACAACAAGTCAACATGTGCTTTGGATGGTTGGAATTGGAAAATGTTTACCCCTTTGGCTTTCAGACTTGGAGTTCAAACCTCCTGTGCTCCATGCCCATGCATCTTGATGAACTTGATTGAATTTGACAGGTCTTCCTGAATGGCATCTGGAACCTCGTTGGCAAGAGGCTGTTTGTCCAAGGATGCCAGCTTCAGCTACGCAACAACTAGGCCCACGAGAAGTAAAAGAAATGAGGTGGAAGCTGTAGATAAGTTGTAGGCACGTTCCAGAGTCAGAGTACGATTCGAATACTTCTGAAATCTTACAAAGGTCAATTCATTTTGCATGACAAGATTTGGTTGGGAGGAGAATTTGCAAACCTTATTCAAAGAAGTGAGATGCTTCGGCAAAATTGTCCTAGTGTAGGCCAGTACTACGTTGAATCTTTTGGTTGTTCAAGGTAGGTCAGGTGAAGTGTTGGGCAGCGCTGGCAACTAGATAGTTGTCCTTGTCCAGAACCTGTGAGAATCAATGCCGCTCATACACTCAAGGCAACTCAAGGCATTCAAGGCACTGAAGAGAGCTCTTTTGGCTACTGATGGCTACTGTATACACAGCTGATCATAGCTGTATTACCATCCGAGGATGGGAATGCACAGGAACCCTGCTGAGCTGAGGACACAGACTGCACGTCACAGGTGTTTCCACACACTGAACATTTTTTTTGATGCTGCGGGCTGCGGCAGTTGTGTGTTACAGTATATGGTTTGCACTCTTTAAATGGAAGTGTTTGGTTTTGATGAGTAAAAGACACGTTTCGTTGTGTTGCCTGAGTGGCAAGAACTGATGCGCAGGAATACTTTGCAGAGCCTCCGGCGCCGAAAGGATATTGATTCTGAGGCAAAGGAGAGTTGAAAGACTTGAAGCGAAGAGTTTCACATTTCTCAGATGCTAAGAAAGGCCAAAGACGGCAAACATAGTTGGAAAAAGTCTGAGAGCATTAAAAGAAAGACAGAAGATGGAGGCGATAAGGACAACAACAATTAATTCGGCAAGAGATATTAGCAGGATGTTTTGGCGAATAAAAGTAAATATATCAAGTATCATGATGTATAATGATGTACATAATGTATATATGTCTAGAAGTAGTGCTTTGAGGCCCCTCAATCTGAGGACCGAGAAGTCTTAAAATATTGAAAGAATGGTGTGGATTCCAATTCCAATATGCTGCTTGTGAGGCAAGAATGCAAGAAGATCAGATATTTGGAAGGGACTTGTTATGATCTTTGGTAATCCAGAAGCCCATTAGTCGGTCCTGGCTCGACTGCAACCGATCAGGTCTCCATTCAGCAGGACTTGAAGAACAACGAGATTCGCATTTCTTCTGACTGCGGTAGGCTAGTCTGATCCTGCATAGTACTGCAATGTATACGATCGTATAGGATCGTAGAAGTATTATATAGAACATCAATGAACATTCTAGAACCAGATAGACTGTACTTATGCAGTATGCAGCAAGCGTCACCCCACGGCTTCCAGCATTTGGAACTTTCTTCGCATGGCCAAGATGTCTTCTAGATTCTCTATAACCTGCGCTCAGATGTTCGCGTCCATTGTACATCGTAGACTACGAGAAGCAGAAGGTGCTCATCAATGGTCACCACGACCCTTGCCCAGCATGAAGAAATTGCTTCAAAACAGCACCAGACCATATGAAGATATTTGAAGCTCGCATCGGCAAGTGACTTTTGAACCAAGGTGGAGAAGGTCAAGAATGGCGATTGGGAGTGGGGAACCCTCATGCGTTCTGGTCTCAGCTCGCGCTACTGCTGTTCGCTGGGGTAGGCCACAGCAGTAGCATGCTCTAGCTGAAGGGGGTTGTAGTGCATGAGGTCCAACAAGGTACTCTGAGTCGTTAAAGTTGAACGATTTCAATGAAATGAGCGTCCCAGCTGCGCGCACGCAACTTCTAAAGTTGACCAATGTTGCGTCCAGCTTGTGTCTAGCAAGTTAGTTTTTTTCAGTTTTTGACTTTTTCGTGGGTTTTGCATTGCCAGCGACTTTGTGTGACTTCGTATTTAGGTTGTGTCTATACCATGTTTTCATGATCGCATGAAAGGACAATGAAAGGAAATGAGAGGAAATGAAAGGAGAATGAAAGGAACATGAAAGCAAATGAATCCAAAGGTCTGGGTTTTGATACCCTTTGACGTCGTTCGATACGTCGTTCGGACGTCGTTCGGGCGTCGTTCGAAACAGCTACCCTCTGGTAAACTAACATAGCTATTGAAAATGGCCATTTATCGTGGATTTACCCATTAAAAATGGTGATTTTCCATAGTTACGTTATATAGTTTACCAGAGGGTAACCGTGTCCCTACAGAATCCAACAGGTAAAAGCAGCTTTTCTTGTGATCACTTGCAATCTACATGTGGTGAATCACTGGCGTCCCAATATGTCATGATTGTTTTTTGTTGTATTTAATACCACTTTGAAGATGTTTTGGGAGTTGCGTCCACAAGGTGTTTCCTCATCTTTCACACAGCAAAACTTGCCAAAACAGAGTTTGTCGTACATCGGCGTCCCATTGGGGTTGACCTTGCTTTTGGTCAACTTATTTGACTTCCTGATCCAACGGCGTCCCAATGAGATTTGACACAATTCTGTTAAATTGGTCGACTTTAACGGTTCGGAGTATGTACTCAATCAGCTTCCTTTCGCACTTGGAAGTCAAGAAATGCTCTGCAGTTCTGTTTGCGGATTTTATTCTTGATTCTTGACTCTAATTACATGGATTCTACATGGATTCTACAGATTCTACAGGGCAAACAAGAAAGTCACGACTGCGTCATGTGTGGGTGTTCCTTAATGATACCACTGTTTTCAAAGGTCATACCCAAGTCATGCCTGCGAGGCTTCCCATGGCCACGCAATTCGTATATACACACAGAGATTCACGCTGACGTGTATGTACATTGGTTGGCCGTGCCCAAGTGATTTTTTGAGTCCAGTTTTCGACTGTATCGATGAGTCCAACTTGACGTGTGGTCCTGCGACACTGGCTCTTTGCTCTCATCCTCAGTCTTTGCTGCTTGAATAAATTTGAATCAGCTTGAATTTCTGAAACCGTCCAGGTGAAGGACTGATCGAGTACCTCGACGCAGAGGAGGAAGAGTGCTCGATGATTGCAATGTTCATCCATGATTTGGTCAGCGGCTCATTGAGCTGTGGTTCTCCGCTGCAAATCTAAAAACTAACGTGACGTGTCACATGACTTCTCGACACCAGTTGCTGCGGGGTGTGTAAGTATTAGCTGGTCGCAGCTCTTTTTGCATTCAAGACTTCCCTTTGTTCTTGAGAGTCCCGACTTCTTCTGTGTGTTTAAACCTAGTCCGCAGCAAGTCCGCGCAGTCCGCAATGCTAGTCTGGCATACCATGTCAGTCCCAATTCCGTTCAATTCCTTGTCCAGCTCTCAACCATTCCAGATGTGTTTACTTCCGAGTTTCTTGGCAGAGTACCGCAGTACGTAGAATTCCTGCACTGGTTCTTTTTGCCTTTCCCATTGCTTACTTCCGTAGTCTGTGGGACTCCCGAAAATCGAAGCAAGCGCAATCTAATCTTTCAACCTCTCAAATGAATCAAATGGTACCAAATGGTAAAGGGAAAGCGTATGAAAGCGTCATGAAGCCATTTATGAAGCCACAAAGCACGGCTCAAATGCTTTCCCTCAAAGCAGCTGCACAGCACCGAGGTGAAGACTCGTGCCTACTGCAAGCAAAGCGGTCTTGTTTATATCGTTTTAGCCTTTTAGAATGCTTTAATTGGAAATTAGAGTCTGTAGAGTTTGGAAGATGAACGAGGACGAGCGAGGCTATACAATCATAAACGAAGATGAAAAGAATCATCGATGATCATTGCTTGTACATCGACTTTCAAGTGTTCTGCGGTGCAGCAGACAGCTCAATGCCAGGACGTACACTCACGCAGAGATTCATCCAGCAATGATCTTCGGTGTTTGCGCTTGGAAGCTCAGAGTTCTGGGAATTCTGAGAGAATTCTGAGAGGCGGTGAAGGAATCTGAAAGAGGGACATAGAGGGACCCCAGATGACCCCAGGGATCAGGATTCAATCAGGATCGTACCAGGATATGAGGCGTGACAGGTGACAGGCAGACTGTCAGCCGAGCTTGTTTGCACTTCAGAATCAGCTTTCAATTTTGGAAAAGCATACATACTCTGACTCTGGTTTCTTGTGGAATCGAGCATTACCCATTTGTTCGACATTGTCCAGACTCCAGACTCTATGTTTGTTGAATGAAGCAACACTAGCCCAGTGGACAAGCTTTTAGTCAAACAGGTGTGCATTCCGCTTGGACGACAAGACTCTGAGACACATCGAGACACCATGCGGTGTGATTTGTCCAGGTGAACACTGTCAGAGAGAAACCATGAGAAGCCTGTCCCAGGCATCGATCATTCCCTTCCCAGACCACAACATGAGCCCCAGGCGCTGATTGCTGGACATGACAAGACCATGGGCTTACCAACGTTAAAATTGCTTTGGTAACACTGGCTGGATACGATTGGCCATTCAGCCTTTTCTAGCGTGATAATGAGTTACAATGCACTATAATGCATTATAATGCATTATAACATATATATATATATGTATATACACAATTATATACATACACACAATCACACATATTATATATATATGTTACGAAAGCAAGCCGACAGGCATGGCTTAGTTGTTGGTTGCAAATGTAGTGAGTTTATAGGGGGTCTGGGGGCAGTGGCTGGCATTGGCTGGCAATGGCGGCGGATCACAAGGTGAAAATACAATTGATTTAAGGGGAAAATGGGGGTGGACGTGAGAGACCTTTTCCAGGTCATGTACCAAGTGGCAATTTAGTGTCGGAGAGGCTTCGATTCCCCCCTGGTCTGCAGCTGTGGGGAGCTTCTTGAGCAGCAGCAGTAACTTGGCCAACTTGGCCAGAAAAAGAAGGCCGAAATAAATATGTCAGGGATCGCGAAACCGGGCTTCGAGAGCATCGCTTGCGTCGGTTCGGGATCATGGTCTTTGCTGAAACGCCTTTACGGCCAAAAAGAAGCTCCAAGATGGTCCAAGTAAATCTACGTACAGTAGGACGTTTCTTGCGTCTGTTCGAGATGCTGGCAATGTTGATTCAGAAAGAAAGAGAATAAGCAAAAGACGGCATGCTTGGACGGTTGCTTGATTTTATGTTCACTGGTGGACGTTGTCGAAGCTCAACAGGTTTTGCAGCACGTCATGCTTGAACTTTTCATGGATACTACTTGTATCTTTGGTTCTTGTAATTATAAGCACAAGACCTCATATGTGAAACTGCGCTTGTAGATAGTGGAAGCTCAACAGGTTCCGGGGCATTAGAGTTTGTAGAGACAAGAACATAACCTCAAGAGGGATTGTTGGAGACGTTTTAGCTACAGCGCGAAAGACTGTCATGCTTGACTGTTGCTGGATTTTATGTTCATTGGTGGAGGTTGTTGAAGCTGAACAGGCTCTGCAGGACGTCATGCTTGAACTTTTGATGGATACTACAGTATCGTTGGGTCTTGCATAAGCACAAGACCTCATACGTGAAACTTCGGATGTATTTTATTGGTGTTTGTATGAAGATGTATGAAGCTTGTGATGTTGTAAGAATTCCCTCCTGGTTTGCAGAAGCTTCACCCATGTAGATGGTGGAAACTCAACAGGTTCCGGGGCATTTGAGTTTGTAGAGACCAGGACATAACCTCAAGAGTGATCGTGGGAGATGTTAGCTACAGCACGTAAGGGGCTGGGAAAAGTAAAAACCTATATTGTATACATGGATTGGACCATGAAGTTTGGTTGCAGAAGCAAGTTGGTTTTTTCGTGCTGCAACGGTGGTTGCAATATGGATTTTATGTTGGGTTTGCGTGATGGGAATTCCTTGCTGGTCTGCACAAGTTTCACTGGTGGAGGCTGTCGAAGCTCAACAGGTTCGCTTGCAGGTCACGTCTACCACCGCTGCTTCGCACACTCCGGCCCCGCGCAGCTCAAAAAAAAAGCCGCCTCTTCTGGTTCCGCTGGCTTTCGCTCCCTCCTTCTCAGGTAATGTTTTTTCTTATCGCACAAGTAATGCTAATTTAGAATATGATAATATCTATATAATATATATATACACACACCATATATATAAATATATAAATATCCGTCACTCAGATTTCCGTCACGCCATACATATTGTATAAAGTATACCTTTTTATATTGTATATAATTTGTATTGTATGTATTTTACATATGCTTTATTAACTATATGTTTTTGATTAAGGTTTTATATTGTATATTTTATATATATATAGATATAGTATATATATATATTATATAGGTTCATATATATTTGTTTTTTATTACATATATATATATATATGTATATATTAAGTTATTATGTGTATCTTGTATATATATATATATATATATTATGGTTTATTTATCAATTATATATATAAATATGTACTATACCTATTGTTTAATCATATGTTATATTTTATTATATGTTTTTATATATATATATATTAAATATTATATATATATATTATATTTTGGTATTATTATACAATTTGCATCTTATTTCTAATATTTTTACTCTATATATTATGTATTTTTTTAATGTAATGTTTATCTATATTATATATATAGCACTGTAGTTTGTGATTTGCACTGTTTAGTGACCTCCCGGCTGAGTTCGTGGTTTTGACAGCACTTTTTCCCTTGGCGTTGTTCCATCCACTCTTTAGTTCATAGTGTGATACCTTCGCTTTCCGGGAATTGCAGCTAGTTGCACCCAATTCATGCCCTTCAAACTATAAAAGCAGTGGCGGCGAGAGCCATACGTTTTGGTAAAGTCACCTAAAAACAACCTTTGCTGATGATATTTGACTGGCTGATGCTAGTGATGAGACATTGCTGGTGCTGAAGGAATGTCTTCCAGTCTGCGATGGGGAAGCAAGCCATTGGAGTCTTTGGAACCAATTTCTACTCGCGGATGGACACGCGAGGTCCTTAGAAGAGTGGAGCATGAAGGTGTTTCACATCGTTGATCCTTCAAGATTCGTTCACCAAAAACGAAAGAACGCCTAAAGATCCTCAAGCAATCACAAACATATTTACTGTGTGCGTGTCTTACTAATCTTACAGCCCTACATGTTCCTACCTACATGTATGACTGTATGACCATATTCATGTGGAGTTTTGTTTGCTCATTGGGGGAAACTGCGGAGATGCATCCATTCTTTGCAAATTGATTTTGTATGATTTTGTTGTTCTGTTCCGCAATAATCATCCACAAAGAGTTCTTGAAAAGAAGCAGTTGAGCGAGTGAGCACGTTATACTAGGCACACAGGCAGGCAATATAATTGAGCACGACAGCGTAATCTATGAAGCAGATACAGCAACTGAAGATGTGTGGAAAACACACCAACATGACATCAAGGTTTTAACCAGACACACCGGCACGCGTCAACAGTTGTCAAGTCGGATGTGGAGTGAAGCGACGTTCTTTCTCACTGTATGCATCATGAACTTGCCCGATGTGATACAGAATACTGAACACGATAAGTACTCGGCCAAATCGCACGGATATTGAATGTGAGAATAAGACATAATAAGACACATACCAATAGTAACGCACAAGGCAGTGGCGGAAGTTTCAGACAAAGAAACCTATAGGAGAGAGCTTGGTCGTTGTGAATCACGGATTGCAGAGCGAATCCACTGATGGACTGAAAGGTGGTTGGAGTTGTGTTTTTTTGAGTGGTTACAACGATTACAGTGGTCACCTTGTCGGTCACCTCACCCACAACTGCTGGATGTAGCGTGGTGTAGTGCAGCTGAAGTTGTAGTTGTAAGTGTAGTGAAGTTGTAGTTGTGGTGTAGTGTAATTAGATCGTGTAGTTGCAGTTGAATTTGTAGTAGTGGTGTAATGAGTGTAGTGTAATGAAATGTAGGGTAGTGTAGTCTAGTGTAGTGTAGTGTAGTGTAGTGTAAAGTAGCGTAGTTGTAGCTGTAGTCGTAGTTAGTGCAGTGTAGTATAGTGTAGCCTAGTGTAGTGTGGTGTGGTGTAGCGTGGTGTAGTGTAGTGTAGTGTAATGTAGTGTAATGTAGTGTAGTCGTTGTTGTTGTTGTAGTTGTAGTGTAGTCTAATTAAGTGTAGTGTAGCGAAGTATAGTGTAGTGTAGTTGTAGTTGTATTGTAGTGTCGTGTAGTGTAGTGTAGCGTAGTGTGGTGTGGTGTGGTGTAGCGTAGTGTAGCGTAGTGTAGTATAGTGTAGTGTAGTGTAGTGTAGTGTTACTGCAGCGTAATGTAGTGTAATGTAGTGTAGTGTACTGTAGTGTAGTTGTAGTTGAACGGAGTGGAGTGGAGTGGCGTGGAGTGGAGTGGAGTGGAGTGGAGCGGAGCGGAGTGGAGTGGAGTGGAGTGGAGCGGAGCGGGGCGGAGTGGAGTGGAGTGGTGTGGTGTGGTTGTAGTTGAAACTGCTACAAAACCTTCACGTTTTGCTCACATTTGACAAGGTGCACAATCCCTTGCGCCTGCCACACGAAACGACATCTGAACGTCCAAAAGTGCTCCGTACCCGTCAGTTTTTGGCCCTTTTGACTTGGAAATGTGCTTCGCGGCACAACGGCGTGCACGATTTCCACATCTCAACTTCAAAAAGTGCTCCGAAGCTGGTGTTTCTTTTACTTTTGACTTCCAAATGTGCTTCGCGCCACAACGGCGTGCACTTTTTCGACATTTCAACTTCCCAAAAGTGGTCCGAACCTGGTGTGCTTTGTACATTTTGACTTGGAAATATGCTTCGCGCCACAACGGCGTGCATTTTTCCATCTCTCATCTGGCCAGATGGCTCCGCACCCGCCGCTTTAGCGAGCCTACTTTTCGACCCTCCGGGGCCACAAATCATTGATGAAACAGGGTGAGCCGCGACTTTTCTACCTTTTCACGCGCCTGCATCTTCTTTCTTCTGACTCTTTCTCTTCTCGGATCTTCTCTTTCTTCTCTTCTCTTCTCTAACTCTTCCAACCTCTGCGTTTCCATCTCTCCATACTGTCGGAAGTTTGACTTCTAAACTTCCTTCGATCATATCCATCACTATGAATTTTTGCAGCCATTGATGGCTTATTTCCCTCGTATTCATACGTGTGGCTGCGTCCCATTCCTTGGATGACCTAGAGAAACTTTGAAAAGCGCATCAAGCCACTGCAAGCACATCAAATTTCGATCAATTTCGCACATTTTGAGTTTGTCATGCACGTTTTCAGACAGCCAGCCGCGCACGCATTCGAACAAAGCATATTTTGATATATTTTTTGCAGGCAACAATGTACTCTCAGACAACTAGCAATATACATCAAACCCCTTTGCCTGTTGGATGATGTTGGATGGTATTTGAACAAGGGTTCAATGTGTCCACTGTGCAGTACATATTTCATCATATTACATTCCGAAATATTCTGGACGACCTTAGAGTCTTACAGGATCAGACGCATCAGATTCCAAGGTTCGCGTGCGTCATGTGCTACCCAATGAAACCATTTGCAGGGGCCTCAAGGGGCTCACAACAAAGGGCGCCGGAGCTGCATGGTGACATGACGTGACGTGACGTGACGCAACATGACTTGACTCGACATGGCCAACAGGGCATCAACACGGTTTCCAGATGTTTTCGCAGAACGCTGTGCAAGTCTTGTTGTCATGCCAAAATTTGGTTGCCCTATGTTGCTACATTGCCAGTAGCACATTTTGGCTTTGATTCTGCTGCTGGGTGTTTCTAATGGATTCGGACAGTGGGTATCGAGTGATCGGGTTGAGCCGCTGGAATTTGTGAGGTTGGCACACGCTCGATGAACTACTTGCGTTTCCGAGAAATGCCTGCTGGAGTGACTAAGACAGAATGGAATGTTTCACGCCATGAACATTGTGAACTCATGACTCATGGAGAAAGATGAGAAAGGCTTATATAGCATATATAGATAATATATTAGTATTATATAAGTTAGTATGGATGAGTTTTCTTTAGTTGTCATTTTTTTTCATGTTTATCAAGGCACCTTTGGCTAGAAGCTAGGCCTGGGATCGTCTAGAACGTCATAATCTTATACTGTACATGTTAGACGTATGCTTGTAGATACTTTCAGTATTTTCCTGTAGTATTGTTTGGAACCTTTTGGAAGCTTCTCAAAACAGTGCTTGCAATGGTTGTGCGGACTGTCTCAGACACTTCCAGAAAAGTGACTTAACCGCTGGGGCTGCGGCGAGAGCCCATCTCGGATTTTCTCAGACTCCAAAGAGATGCTCAATTCAGAAAGCCGTGCAATATCAATTATTATCAAGTTGTATAATTAAGATTAATTAAGATTAATTGAGTAACGAGTATAATTAATTCATTTGACCTCACCCATCAAGAAAGGTTGGGAAGAACCTAGTCCTAACCTTCCGAACGCTCAACCACGCACTGCACACCCTCAAGGCTCCCGACCCCACAAGTTCCAGACAAGCCGCAAAATGCCGCAAATGAGGGCCAAGCCGGCCAAGCTTCATCCTGAATTCTCCAAACCGAACAAATCTCCTTCAAACTTCCTGAATCTTCCTGGACAACATGATGTTCCGGAAGGCTTTCAAAATTGCCGCCGGTTTCGAACTCTCCCCCCATCAAAGCAATGGGAGAAACCGCAAGGTTCCGTCTCCCAACGCTGCAGCGGGGATGTTGATAAAAAGATGCCAACCATGTCCAATCATGCCATATTTGTTCAAAGATGCCTCAATACGCAAGTTTTGCCCGTGTGAAACAAAGGTGAACACAATCGTGTTCATCATGTGCTACACAGGCTCTGAGTGAGGTTGATGTGAACGAGAGGGGGAGGTAGATAGATGGATTAGATTGGATTAGATCAGAGTAGATTATATACGATTATATGATATTATATTAGACGGATGGATAGGTAGATAGATAGACTTTGATATTTGAAAGTGGGATTTGTTCCGACCCAAATGAAGCTTCATAGCAAATCTTGGCTTGTTTTCTATTGTATTCGGAAACAGTCCAAGCATGGATCGACTCACTCATAGGAGAGAAAAAATTGTGGACTACTGGGATGTTTGTTTGTTCCAAGGAAAGAGTGCCAGGGTAAGTTTTCTCTTTCTGGGTGCTTGCTAGACAGGATTGAATAAAATCCAAGAGATGAAAATAATCATTCGCAACCAATTTAGGAAATTGTTCGTCAAAAGATGCGATGGGCATGGATAAACACTCTCAATACTAGCGACTTGGCCATCATGCAATCAGCATGGTTTGACTTGATCGTGAACGAAACACCTACATTCTGGGCATTTAACATATAATGACTGCCTGTCAGGCTACAATCAGGAAGATTCCCTGATGTTGAGCAGGCATCTTAGGCTGTCAGTTGCGTGTGCAAACACACGCGGGAGCAATGAAAACGTGTTGTGTAATACGTTGTGGTCCCATCAGGAAGAGTAATATAGAGCAATGAGCACTCAAGCAATAGCAACACGTAAGTGACATATATATATATATATAATCGCCTCTTCATCCCAGTGAAAGAAGTGATCCTACGCACCAAGGTCAATCTTCTGTGGATCGTGGCTTTATGAGGGCCGTCTCATATAGATGCTACGCCGCAGAGGACTAGTTTTACTTTAAGCACTTTAAGCATTCCGTGTCATTGTGACAGTTGAAGAAATGACTCCGGAAGAGTGTATAATTTTGTGTTAGAGCTTGATAGATCCAGTGCACCATCATGAAATACCATGTGTCAGCATCAGTTTTCGGAAAGATAGCTCTTGTCAAGGTTTCTAGTGGACGGGATGGTAACCTTGCGAGTAATCTTTTGCACACCTGCAATGGCTCGCATTTGGGATCGACATACTGCAAGTGCATGAGTGTTTGTGTCTGAGAGCTTGACTTCCTTCCCCCTTTTTAAATGCTGTGCCTGTTCAGCGGGTTGAATATCTTGCACATATCTTGATCGTTGAACTTCATGCTTTGCACAACCCTACTTTCAAAGTGACAGCAGCTTGACTCAGCTTGACTCATTCAATCCAGAGAGTGCCTGCACGCGTTTCTCTCATGTTTTATCTTCTGTGCACAGCGACATCATTCCAAGATCCCTGTTGCTGTTTCCACCACAGAGACTGGATCTTTTCACTGCAATGCGTTTTGCCAGATTCGTTTGAGAATGTTTTGAGATAATTGTGGTGTCCAGGTTTGATGTTAGGCAATTGTAGTGATCCTATGTGATCCTGCGATCTGGTACGTAGCGATGTAGGTCTGGTTGAAGGTCAGGAAGGGATTTGTGGTGGGTTTACGCTGATGTGATGGAAGGTCAAGCGAAAGCTCGCAGCTCACCGGAGTGCACTTTGTAGATCTTTATAGCAAATCCATCCTGCCTCAGTAAAATGTCCTTTATAGAATGGGTCATAAATGACAATGTCATGGGTTTTCAAGTCTGAAACATAGGGTTGAAACGGGTTAAACCTGACATTTTGATACATATTGTAGAGCTGAGAGAGTTGAATCTATGGTTGTGTAAGGTGAGGAGCCATACTCTAAAGTCG